AAAAAAAATTCACTGAATCTGAATGCTCCCTCTTGCAACAATGCCAGTTGGTACCTGGTTACAGATGGGTTCCTAGAACACTCATCTAGTAGGGGAAGCCTATACTACAAGGGGCCCACCCTCCAGAAGATAATTTTGTTTGTGTGTGTGTGTGTATGTGTGCATACATATATATGTGTATTTAATACCTACCTTATACAAAACAATGAATTGAGGAAAATATATGCAATTGGATATTATTAGAAGACAGATGACAGGTTATTATTTCTGATATCCAATTGGCTACTAAATAAATTTGTTAAAATTTTTAAAAAGAAAATGTACAGCAAACATTTTCTTTCTCTCTGATGAATCAGGGAAATGAAAAGCACGCAAAATTAGGTGAAAATTTTTAGTCATCACATAAGTGCACACACAACAAAGGTAACATTATCTGAGGCAGGCCCTTTACATGGCTGCTGAAAGTGTGAATTGCTTGAGGAAATACAGCAGACTTCACAGAGATTCCTGTCGAATAATACCTACTAATAACATTACTGCTGGCTGTCTTAGCTCAAACCATTCTAGTAAACTATCAGAACTGTGTGTAGGGTAAAGTAAAATCATGTTCACTATTAAAGTGATAGGTCCTTATATATTTTTAAATTTAAAGCGATATTTACCAGCTCAGTAATTTGCCTGATGCAATAAACTCAACTTCAAATGACATTTGGTGGCTTTAAACCAAATTCTTCCTTTTAGAATGCCGATCTGTCATCATTCAAGACAACGTGATGTTGACTTTGAAGGTAATTCCAAAAGAGGAATTTCCAAAAATATATGGGAAATAACAATAATCAAATTAGCACTAATTTTTTACAAATGTGCCAAAACTTATGCATCCAGATACATGTTGTTTCAGTTAGAGTAGTCACCTTTAGAAGCTGTGGGCTAATTTGACTGTTTGACTGATTATACATAGGTTGTAGTGTGGTGTGTTGAAGGCTACTGAATGCAACGTACAATGCTTAATTAAAATCTTTATTCTTTTATTACAAAAATTAGTAACAGTACACTATAAGCAGATTTAAGGTAGAGGAATGAAAAGTAGTGGAAAGTAGTGGAAGCAATCTAGTAGTGGGTAAGATTCTTGTGTTGAAGCCTCAGAAGTTGTAACAGTTCTCTTTAAATCTCCATTTTCCTGGAGATTTCCATTTTGGTTCCAAAATATTGGTGTCTGTGTTTATTTTTTCATTTATTTCTTTGCTTATATTTTTAGCCCAGCAGCTAAATTATTTTATTAGTTTTTTTTTTTACCAAAAGAAGGTTTTAGACAAAAATTCTAATTTAACTTCCCTTTTGCTCTGTCCTGAGAGTCCTTAATGACAGTTCCTAAGGCAGATGTTTTCCAATAAAGATTAAATGAATACTTTCCCAGCTTCCCACTCGGGGCGGCTGTGTACACACAACTCCACACAACTCCAGGGAGACATCCATCTTTCTCGGTGTGAGTGACCCTGCATCACACCACTCACATGCAGGAAACACAAATGACACTCTCTGGGCTGAGGATGCAGCAGCCTTGTTTTACCTCACTCTTATCTGACGTGCTTCAAGCCTAAATCTTTAAAGTTTCCGGTCTGAAAGGCATCTCCTTCACCACTGTTATTGTACAGTACTAAATGCTTTGTCCATACTACTTTAAAAGCAATTGTTATGTCCAATGAGATTATTTTAAATTAATTATATTTGCTATTTCACTGAGGACTGTGCCATTATATACTATTAAGCTAAAAGAAAGTGCTACTTACTTTCCAAAGATACACCTCCTTGGGCAAATGTTGAAGCACAGATGTCAATTACAGTCAGTTGACTTCATCGATTGTTTCCAGTGAAAACACTCATGGTATTTGGAAGGATTTTTGTCTGTGTAGATAAAGCCTTTTGATTCACTACTGACATGCTAGAGACAGTGTTCAAAGCATTCATTGTCATTCCCTAGAGCCCCCAGCTTCCCTTGCAGTTCACTTTGCCTAGATGACCACCTCTTCCTTGCTACAGAGCACCGGGAGGCGTGGGGGTGCATATGGTGCAGCTCCCAGACTGAGGAAGCTTCCCAAAGGGCAATAGACTGGGATGTGAGGGAAAAGTCACATTTCTTGGATCTGAGGGTCAGTTTGTGGCCATTGTGCTCTAGCCAACCTAACTAAAACAATGCATTTAGCATTTTAACAACTATATATATTTGTTAAAATATATATATTTATAAATATATATATATTTACATATATATTCCAAAGCAGTTAAATATCACTTCCCTCCCTAAGTTTCCTCCTTACCTTTATGTCTCTTCCTTGGCAAAAATTGTGCAAATATTCTTCTATATAGTCTTCTGTTTTTGTTTTTAAATTTAGTTTTTACATTGTTCATATTGAAATTTCATTTAAAGCATTCAATGCATCTTATACAAGGTGGCATCTTAAATTAGATAAAATATCTTTGGTCATTTGGAAGCATTTTTTATATCTTATATTACCTTCAGATTATTATTGGGTAAATACACCATCATTGGCCTGTAATTACCCTTGTGCATAGAGTGCCAAGCCATGGTCCCTTTAAGTGGCTGTACCTGCTTTAAATCTACTTCTCATACCTGTTCTGAACATTCTGTTCTAACTAACACATTTTTTTGAATTCTGATGCCATTGCAAGTTCTTTCAGTTTCATCCTCACCTTTCACGTGGGACTTTGTCCTCAGCCTTCCTTTTCTAGCTATAACTTTTTCATCCCTAGACCACTGATTTCCAAATGTGATCTATGGAAGATTCAGCTTCCTCTCCTTTCTCCACAGTTGCCTCCGGCCTCCAGACTCCAGCCCTGGGCCCAGGAGCCCTGTGCCTTCGCACGCAGTGAAGCCTTTCCTCTCTGAGTCTCCTGTTGTGCTTATTTGGACCCCTCAGTCATTCAACAGCAAACCTCAGCGGGTGGGGAGAAGGGCCAACCCCCTTAGGTGGTAATAGCAAATCGAGTGCAAAAACCATAATCATACCTTCTTTCCCAAAGTGAAGGTTTATAATCAAACACCATAATACACTGTGAAAATTCTAGGAATCTTGGCTTGTTAAGCAGTTTTCACAATTACTGGATTTTTCATAGGTCCTGAATTCCCATGTGAATAGAGTTGGAAAAATTCTTGTTTGTAAGTTTATTATTAACAGGTAGCTAACTTTTAACATGCTGCACATAGTTTTACAGACTTGATTAGAGTGCATGGAAGACACTAGCCAATACTCTGAGATCCTGCAGGAAATTATTACTTCATAGAGATAATCATTTCTCCAGAGAGACAGGATTAGTTGTATTTCAAGAATTTCTTTTTTTGATGATACCATGGTAGTAATTTTTCCTTCATGAAGATAAACTGGTGTTTGGACAAAAAAATTCCTAAATGTTCAGTTACCTAAATTATTTTATCTGTTTAATATAATCTCATGCAACTATTAAAATAAAACTAGGAAGACAATGATGATACATGAAAGGTTAGCCTGAAGCAATGGTAAGAGAAAAGGGCAGAGCACAGCATTTTTGTGCTTTCATGTTAAAATCCCAACCACAGCTCTGAGTCAGGACTTTAGCTGTGTAGCCGTTTGGATTGCAAGTGATCAATAAACATTCTTCATATTTTGGATGGACTGAAAAAGGAAGGGGTCCTGCTGGGGATTCTGTTTCCATGAGAACCTGAGTAGCTTTCCCGGAGAGGCCATGGCTGAGCACAAAGGGTCACCACTGTTGGCTCTCGTCACTGAGGCTCACGGTAACTATGGAGAAGGTAGGATGGAGAGGGCACAGGGATTGCATGTTGCTGCTGGAAAGTTTACCAGGTAGACATGAGAGAGTGTCCTGATACTTTGTGTAGAGACACCGACAAAAGTTTGGGGAGGGGTAAGGGTAGGTGGGCAGGGGCAGGGGACGAGTACAGCATGTTTGTACTCAGTTCTGAGTACACTATTTAGCAAATATCACTTGGTATTTTCTTCAAGCATAACCTCTTCTATATGCCCCCTCCTCACATTTCCAAACGCTTGTGGCAAATTTGGGGTGAACCTGAAAACTAAAAAGAAAGTCAAAGAATGTGCTGAACAGTGTTTGGTGTGTGCGTGTGTGCATCTGTGTGTGGGGGCATGTCATACACAGAAGGTAAAAACTACCTGATCTGTGATATAAAAAGGAGTTTTAATAATGTCAAGAGGAGGATCAGTTTTCCTGTTCAAAGCATTAGTGGTTGGTATAGAAGTGAGGCCAGGATCACACTTATCACAGGGTGCAAGCTATGGCCGAAGAGAAGGAACTGGACAACAGAGAGGAGGATAATAGTCATCTGGATGCTCGTGGCTCCCGAATTAAATGGGAGGAAACTCATCTCTCCATTGTATCTTTAGTGTGTATACTCCCTACATGTGGTCTTGGGAAACATGAGTTATATAACCACATACAAATGTACGTAGAAGGCGACATTGAATGGGACCTTTCTCAAAATTCTGGAGCCAGTGAGAGTACTTTGAGATTGGGGCCTGTCTACTACAGTTGTTAAAATTTGGGATTTAGAGCAAGAATGCTTGGTTTTGCATCCTGGTTGCCCACTTCCTGATATATAATCTGCAGATTTCATAAATTTTGTGCTTCAGTTTCTTCATCTGTAAAATGTGGTTGTTTTGAGGATTAAATGAGCTGATACATATAACATGACAAGAAGAGTTTTGGGTGCATAAAAACTAGCTATGAAGAAGGAGATAATGATAATGTTTAGAGCTCCAAGATGAAGAAAGGAAGCCAGTTCATCATCCATATTTAAAAGAAAGAAAGTACTCAGCATTTGGATCTAGGCATCTCTAGATCTCATTTGGAGATGGCAGAACTGGCTTTGTAAGTTCCAGCAAACACTTCTACACTCCTCTGCTTATCTTACAGACATTTTAAGTATTATGTTAAGGTAATTCTGGATAACAGAATGCAGACTAGGCTTAACACAATAGCGGTTTTTATTCTTGCGCACACAAAGTCTGTGTGTGCATTCACCAGAAGGTGGTTTTCTTCTGTGAAGTCCAAAGAACCAAAACTCCTTGTGAGCTGTACTCTGATCATTGCTCAGGGCATACCAGTCTTCTGATTCAAGTGACAGATGAGGAAGAGAAAGCGAGAAGTCACCAGCCCATTCTATGTGTCAGACTAAGTCATACAATCCCACCTACAAGCCAGTGGGGCTCTGATGCTTAGTCTGCTCGGGTTGTGGTCTCCCAGGGATGTGAGAGGGGAAGCATGGACCATCGCAGACAACTAGCTCTGCATTAGAGAAAGGAAGAGGTTAGAAGAGGAAGATGTGACTTGCAAGAAGGGGATACCAGGCACCTCATTCTTGACTAAATGCTCACTAAGCAGCTAACTGGCAGAGGCCTCCCAGCACGACACCTGAAACAGAAGGTGAGGGACATGCTGGGAGAGGCTGATGTGTGTTCTTTACAGTGAAGGGGTCAAACATAACAAGAAGACTAGAGCTTAGTCTCATGTGGTGATTTCATCAGGCAGAGACCGGAGACCTCACTAGAGCAGATGAATCACGACATGTGTGGCAGCCCTTGTTTTGGACACATGTGAAGAAAATGGGGGACAGGCTGCTAATCCATCAGAAGCCTCACACAAGGACCTCAGGGGTTCCTGTGGTTTTGTAAGAAGGTGCATAGAGTTGAGAAGGAGGCAGAAGATATGGAATTTTTTTGGCAGCTGTGGGTAGGTGAAAGGATTGCCCACTCAGAGAAGGTTTAGATCCCTGGTGTCACCAGAAAGGGGATGTGGTTGACACTCTATGAAGGGTTCCTCAGTGAAGGAGGAGGGTGAGGCGAGGCAGAAGAGTGGCCCTAAGAAGTCATGCACAACATCTGTTGGATGAGCAGAGACCATTGTTGGTTGAAACCCCAAGGACTAGGCTTTAGGGTCACCTCCCATGAATAGGCAACCAGCTATGTCAGACCCCTGCCGCTTTTTCTGTTTCTTCTTCCCACGTGGCACTTGTAGAAGTGGGGTGGGACAGGTAAAGAGCAGACTGTTCTTCTTTGGAAATCCAGGTCCCAAAGGCCAAAGATTAAGCCTGAGCAGTGGGGAAGGGAAACAGGAAAGCAGAATTTACAACGAGAATTGAATGATGCCATTCTAGTATCTGAAAGGGGCCAGAAAGCTATGTAATCTCCAGGGATACAGGGGATCAAACAAGGAGATCCCATGGTTATGGTTAAATACAGGGATAAGAAAAATAAAACAAAACAAAAAACAAACAACCCCTCCCCCAACATGTCATGTATGTCCCTATCAGGATCAGACTGTTGGGTGAACTGGTTTTGAAAACTCATAGGTATAAAAGCTGGGGGTGAGGTTAGAAGACACAGCTTTTCCTCTAGAATCTGTTTGTATTGATGGACTTACATGGGCCTTATCAACTGACTACCTGCCAACAAGTGTTTACCAGAGGGAGGAAGTGGACTGTGTGCCTGCTAAGCTTTGTAATGTTCCAGAGCTTGAGTGGCCTTGCTGTGGGGCAGAGAGGGGAGGGAGCAGAGAGGAAGAAAGGGGCTGTTTCTCTCCCTCCAGCTGGTATGAGGAGCCTTGGGTCTGGGGACTGGAGAGCAGCCCTTTGGAGCAGCAGAGACCAGGGAGAATCTTGGAAATTTAAATATTTAGAAGAGACCGTTTAGAACCCAGGAACTCCTGCATGAGCCGGGGAGGCCTTGGAGCTAATGACAACCTGTCTAATCTAATGGTTCAACTATTGTCATTCATACCTACAAACTGGGGGACCTGAAGATGGGTGAGTTGCAGAGGTGAATAATTAAGAGGGATATTGATTTATTCACTTTTTATTCAGAAATATGTACTGACTATGTACTATGTGTCACACACCATGGCAGATGCTAGGCATATAATGGAGGGTAAAATATCTAAGCTCTGCCCAGCACACTTGTGAAGATAAACGTGGGGAGCTTGCAATGAGTACTTGATCTGGTGTGAGGGTGGAAGAGGATGGTTCAGGGAAGTGGCACAAGTTGCCTTGTGTTAGGGTAATGAAAACCAGTGTTTCATGTTCAGGACTTCCTTTAATGTTGTTTTAATAGTCCTCTTATAATAAATAATAATCATAAGAGGAAAGAAAAGAAAATCTTGGCACTGTGAACCAAATGGATAACAGCTTTCCTGTTTCTCCTTAGAGTCCAAGTAAATTAAAAACCATTTAACTCTCTGATGAAAGGTCTTCATCACCTCATTTCTACTCACTGTTTAATCCAGAGAACATCTCCCATTTGTTCATTCCATTTCATGCGGGGTCCTGGCACATCCTGTTCATTTCCCCTTGAAACAAATAATGTCAAAGATTTCCTCTTGGTCACTATTGTAGTTTCAAAGTCTGTAAGTAGTTTCAGAAGAAGACTGTTAAACAAAGTTGTAGATCTATTGCCTTTGCCTATTTACACCTTGAAAGCTTAGGAACCAGAGAGCTATAGTGGCGATGAAGAAATGAATCAAGTTGTTATCTGAGGAATTCAAGACAGGAGTGCCTTGAAAGCAATGAGGAGTCTCTTGTGATTGTCAAGTTAAGCCTGAGAAAGTAGATTTAGATGCTCAGGTGGATTGCAGAAGCTGAAAAGGCAGTTAAGCTAAGGGTGAATTAGAGTATCCTGAATTCCCACCTATTCCTTACACACACACACACACACACACACACCCCTCTACTCACAGAGCTTCAAGATGTATAGGTACAAGAAGAGCCTGAACACTTCTAACTCTACTGAGGGCAGAAAATAGGCTAAAATATGAAATTTTTCATACATTTAGGCCTTAATAGCAGCACATGTGTTTTCTGTTCATTGTAATGCAATAGCACGAGTGGTCCTTTCTGCCTGAGGTGTATATGATTCTCCCAGCCTCATGATATCAATGTCAAACTAACCACAGGCACAAAACAAAAATATCAAAGTCAAATTATAGTATTTGCACAGACTCACTTGCACATTTGAATTGAGGAAGCGCTCAAAGACTTGCATAATCCCAGGCCAACTTCTGTCCAAGGCAGGTCTCCATCCCCGACAGTGACTGTCACTAGGGAAGTGGAACCTTTGACCATGATTTCAAAGCATAGGACAAAGTGTGTGTGTGTGGAGGGGGAAGAAGTGACAGGAACACAGATAAGGGAGAAAATCGATTGGGTTCGTTCTGTCCATGGTGCCTGGATAAAAGAGCTGCCTAGTTGTACATAATGCACTTGCTGACCACAAAACAACTATTTTGCTGTCTATAAATACTTTGTTTTTCTTAAATTGCCTCCTGGGCTAAGTAAAATTTTCACTTCAGTCTTAAAGTTTCATTTAATAAACTAAATTTAAATAATTATAGAAAAATTGCTGTGGTTGTATGTAAAGTGGGAGGGTTTTGCTTTGGACACCTATTGCTTTGAAAATATATACAACATATTACTTATGTAGGGAGAAAACGAATTAAAACATGAAAAATCTTTTATAAAAGTCAATAAAAGTGCTCATGAATATGCACAAAAAATTGACTCACTTGGGTGCTTAAGGAAGTGTTTAAAATGTACAAAAGTGTTTACATTACTCTTTTCACTTATGGTATCAAGGTAATTCTCTTGTCTTAACCTTAACTACTTTCTTAGCATGTACATTTCTTCAAACCTGGCATATAGCTGCAAGTATTGGCTGGGTTCAGGGATATGCTCTGTGGAAACTTCTGTTAATTAGGTTATTCATTAGTGAAAACTGTTGGGGCCTTGAGAAGTAAGGTAAAGATTGACAGATGGAAACCCAAAATATTGGCAGGGTTATGAGAGGTAACTAGGCCTGCTAACTGACCTTCAGAGAGACTCGCCCACCGCATTTTCAATGCTGGAGCGAGGCAGCTCTCCCCACCAGGTAGGACTGAAGGATGGAGAAGTGGAGGGCCTCACTCCCAAAGATGATGGAGGGTGGAACCGAGCTGAGCATGCTAAATTTATTATTAAATTCCCAACCTGAAAAATTACTCCACCTCTCTGGGTAAAAGGGAGTAAAAGGAAGCGAGCAGGAGGGTTTAGGGAAAATCCTTCTTCATTGAAACCTGAACAACTGTGAAAATGTGTTTCTCTCTAGTGGAAATGACTCCTTAATCCTTTTGGATTTTTTTATTCAACACTCTTGGTGGCTGTAGCACATGGTTCACGGTGGCTTTGAGGGATTAAGCATCAAAATTTAAAACATGTAATGTAGTGCAGTTGGTAGTATTGCTTTGTAGTGCTTTGAAGCCTAACATTTTCTCTCATGTCCTAGGCTCAGAGCTATGCCAATATGCTTGGGTGTATTAACGAATTATAAACCGACTAACTGGTGATAATGCTGACAAATAAGTCACAAAGATCTTCATACTTTACTTTAAATGGTCCAGTTCCGCAAACAAATCAACGACACTTTGTCTTGCCCTGCAGATGGTTGTTCAAATAGATCAGTTATGCCATCATTCAGAATTTTACATTCCAGGCTTTATTCTAAACACAAACAAAGGTTGTGTTTGAGGTCTTAGAAGCATGGGAAATGTGGTATTCTTATAAGATACAAACATTAAAATTTCTTCAGACATACCCATTTCTGTCACAGTATAAACTGAAAAAAACAAAAAAACCCTACATACATACATATAATCATATTGTCTTCTATAAGAATCATGTGGGTTATGACTGCCCCAAAATGAAGCTATTTTTGGAAAGACAAGCAATGAATGAGAGATATAAAAGCTAAGCTGTTTCAATGCTGTATCAACACACTCTTTTCATAAAATCTACAAATCTTAGCTTTCACAGTGACATTGAAGAAACAAACATGACTGAAATAAATATAAGGTAGGTGTTACTGTCTCAATTTCTATTGAACTCTACTGGACAAGGTTTAATACAAAACAGTGAGGACTGAGCCAGGAGTTGCATCATTTGATTCTTTGGTGGCTGCTAGACAATTTCTTACAGTTTTGAGGGGGGAAATTGTTCTTGGCTCTCATCTGTGAGTATATGCAGGGACTGAGGGCAGCTGACTAGAATTCCAAAATGAAAGTGCGTATTTGTAGTGCGCACGATACTCTGTATCAAGGCTGACTTGTAGCTGGGGCTGTTTCCCCTTCATTTAGAGAAAGGTGCAAGGGTGCCCTCTTGGGCACTGGTGCAAAAGTTTTCCTCTTTCTTGAATTCTCTGGGCTCTCAAGTCAGAAACTTCAAGGGCCAACAGGCTTTAGCCAGCTGAAATAGGGATAGCAGCAGCATAACTGTCAAGGTCAGGTTTGCTAGTAATTGCTAATTCCACCTCCTACTGTCCCCTGGGCCTTTGCTAACAATGTGTGACATTACCATGCCGGCCAGGCCCAGTTCTGAAATAAGAAGACGTTACAGCTGCTTTGGTAGTTGAATGACTTTTTTTTTTTTACTGTATTTTGACTCTTTTGGCAATAATAATTATGTTCCTTCAGTAAACGACACAATACTGTTTTTTTAAATGCCTTCAAGTTAATATCATGTAATTGTTGCTTTAGCCATGAAAACCGCAGAATCTGAGGGTTGGAAGTACATTATAGATTATGTAATCTAACCTAATTGTTCTATCAAAGATAAAGTAAAAGGTTGGGATTAATATAACACACTTTAAAAACCGTAAGATTTGAATCTAGAGTCTGGTTTTGAACCTCAGTTGAATTAAGTTTTCATTACATAAGGTTTATAATAAACATGTGAATGAGTCAACATAGACATTCTTTCTACTTTATATATAAAGCTATTAAAGATCATGGAGATTGAGTGATTTATCCAATATCAAATCACTAACTAGGATCGAAACTAGTAAGGAACCAGTTTCCTGACTTCCAGCTAGAGTTTTTTTCCGCACACACATGTATGAGCCCAAACTCAAACTAAGACACAAGTCTGCCCCTAGCTAGTTAGAATACTGTTAATCAAACTTTGATTGAGTGTCAAGTACTTTTCTGGTGACGAGGGATATTGTTGAATGGGACAGTCTGTGATATCCAGGGAGCCAGCCTCCAAGACGAACCCCCAGTGATTTGCTTCCTGGTGCATGTCCTCGTCTAGTCCGTCCCTTCTCACACCGAACAGGGGTGACCTGCGTGATCAGTAGGATGTTATGGGATGACCATGTGTTACCTCTCAGGCTAAGTCGTAAACACACTGTGGATTCTGCCTTGCAGAATCACGTGCTCAGAGAATTCAGCTACTGTATTGTATGGACACTCCAGCCGCACCATGGAGAAGGCCATGCATAGAAAGGCCATGAAACCTCAGCTGGATAACGAGCAAAGCCCTGCCAATCTGGTGTGTCAGCTATCTTGGAATCAGATTTTCGAGCCCCGGTCAAGCCTTCAGGTGACTGCAGTGCAGGCTGACATCTAAAAACTGTAACCTCACATGAGACCCTGAGCCAGAACATCCCACCTGAGTCATTCCCAAATTCCCAACTCAAAAAAAAAAAAAAAGCTGTGTGAGACAGAAACGTTTGTGGTTGTTTCAAGTTGCTGAGTTTTGGGTGATTTATCATGCAGCAACTAATAACTAATGTAGAGGGAGTGATAAACACATACATTAATAAGCAGACTAGTTTCAAATATCAGTGTTATGAAGAAGATAAAATAGGACGATATGGTGGAGGGAAGGTGGAAAAGCTGCTTTGTTAAGTAAGGGTGGGGAGGAAAGGCTTCTCTGAGGAAGTAACATTTAAGTTGAGATATCCCTGTTCATAAAGAGGCAACCATGGAGAGATCTGGGGCCAAATAAACTCAGATGGAAGCAGCAGTAGGTGCAAAAACTCCAAGGCAATAAAAAAGCTTGGCATGTTTAAAGAACAGAAAGAAAGTCAATTTGGCTGAAGTGCAGTGAATCAGGGAGAAAGTTGAGGAAGATGAAGTAAGAGATGTAGGCAGGGCCAAATCACCGAAAACTTTGAGGGTCATGGGAAACCATTGAGGACTGGTAAACAGAAGAGACCCGTGATCTGACTCGCACTTTACAAAGATCTCTCTGGGTATTGCGTGGACACTGGAGATACAGCCAGGAATACCATCAACTAGAGGCTGAAGAGAGGAGTCTCCACTTGAAGTAGGGAGGCAGGGGTGGAAGTGGGAGACTAGCTGGCCTTGGGACACATTTTGAGGATAAGGCTGACAAGATTTGGGCTGGGTTTGAAATGTGAGGGAAAGTGGAATTGAGGACAGCTCATGGCTGTGAGACCTGTGGCTGAGAAACCACCCTTGGCTTCAATTTTTTTCATCTGAGAAAGAAAGAGAAAGAGAGAGAGAAGGAGAAAGGAGGGAAGGAAGGAAAGAAGGAACAAATGAAGAAAAGATAACTAAATCTTTGCTTGTGAAATGCCACACTCTATGGGAAATTTCTTTAAAAAATATTCAGCACTCTGCAGCTTCAAGAGATTTTTACTACTAATAACCTTGCTCAAGTTCATAATATATTTTCTGTTTGAGGAAGGCAGCGAATACTGGCACAAGCCTGGCTAGTGAGATGCACTCGTGATTCGGAAGGACTCCTTGCTGGGGGGCGGGGGGGGCCTTATTAACTGTTGTATGCAAAGTACATCGTCTCTAGGGGCACCAGGCGCCTGGAGTCCAAGTTCAGCATTAAGCCATGTTCCTTAAAAGAGAAGTAATTTTCAGAGAAATAAATTATTTTTCCTTTAGAGAAGGAAATGTTTAGGATTACAATTATAAAGAGCTTTTATAAAATTTTTGTGTTTTATGGAGATTTGTTTAATTAAGATTTTCTAAGTGTTGTAGTTACTGCTTCATGAAGACAGCAGTAAAAAGCAACTTATTTCTCCTTCGTTACCTTCTTCCCATGTAGGAAATTTGGTTCTTACAAATAATAAAGTCAAAAGGCAGTTTTTACTTTTGTACAATCAGGTCCTGTACTTAGGTATTAAGTACTTATTTATCATGCCAGCAAGTATTTCTAAGAATAGCACATCATGATTCAAAAATGATAAGGCACACAAATATGTGTACTGTTTGTGTTTGGAAAAGTAATAAAAAGTTCCATCACACTTTATCCTACAAGGGAAGACCACCAAGGGCCTCTGCAGCTGCGCTCTGTCACAGCCTCATGATGCACTCTGTGTAAGCTGTTCCCTCGCTCATTCACACACACACCCCAGCTACTTAACATACAGTTAAGCACATTTTCTAAAACACAATGAAAGTTCATTCAAACACCAAACAGATGTGAATAAAAAGGAGAGGGTGGTTTAAAAATATTTCTGTTGCTATCAGCAATCATCTCATCTCATGAATGGCATTTGGCTATCAGTGTAGAATGTGAATAAGGCTGGTGTGGTTGCTGTGGGTGTTGGAAGAACAGCAAGTTTCCCATTTCCAAACTTGAGAATGTTTACTGAAAGTTCATTATGCTTTAAAACCATATTTTAAAGGAAATATCAAGTTAAAATGGAGAGTAATTTGTATAGATCAAGAAATGTTTTTTTTCCACATATTCCCAAAGATATAGCCATGTAAAAATGTTACAGAAAGTAATTTTTAAAAATACTATTTTGGGAAAATTTCCTCAATCTGCAAAAACAAAAATCTTTAAAATACTTTAAAAATTTCCTCTTGAACCACTTTCAGCCAGACACTTTAAATAATTAGAAATAGTTTTTTTCTTTCAAAAGATACTGTTTTATGTAGCCATTACCATTAGATTACTGGAAAATTAGAAAACATAAATATACTCCAGCAAATTGATTGCATATGTCATTTATTTGATAATGCGGAGCAATAAAAGATTTGATGGTGGAAATAAACTTTCCAAGTATAAAGCCTTTATGAATATGGACATATTGGTAAGAAGTCCACCCTAATTAAATGCCAACCGAGTCAAGGCAAAGACAACTATGGTGATAAAAGGAGCAGGAGAGAGTGACTATATACTTCAAAGTAAAAATATGACCCGGATAGAAGACTGAAATTGGAAAGCCTGACCTCTTGTATTAACTATGGGTGACAAGGGCATGTATATATCTAACCCTTATGTGGAAAATAATATTTGTATCACAGAACTGCATTAGTCAGAGTTCTCCAGAAACACAAAACTGATAGGATGTGCACATATAGAAAGATGTATTTTAAAAAATTGGTTTAACGTAATTGTGGAGGCTGGCAAGTTCAAAGTCTGCAGAGTAGGCTGTGGAAGACCAGGAGGAGCTGGTGTCCCAGCTCGAGTCCAAAGGCAGTTTGCTGAAAGAGTTTCTTCCTCCATGGAAGAGGTCATTCTTTTCCTTAAGACCTTTAACTGATGGGAGGAGGCCCACCCACATTATAAAGAATAATTAATTTATTTCCTAAAACCCTATTGATTTAAATGTTATTATAAAAAATACCTTCATAGTAACATCCAGATGTGTTTGACCAAACATCTGGGTACTGTAGCTTAGACAAGTTGACACATTAAATTGAGCATCACAAAAATATAGTATATCAGATGCTTTCATGCATCGATGGTGGGTATATTAACACTTCAACAATTTTGGAAAATAATCTGACCATTTTATTAAGAGCTTCAAAATGTTTATAGTCATTTTTACCAAATAGCTACATTTCTCTATTATAGAAATAAAGCTAAATGTCAGCGCAAAAAAGCATAAACCACAAAGGAAAAGATGGATAAATGTGGCATATTAAGATTAAAAATTTGTGTGGTGTAAAACACCATTAGCAAAGTTAGAAACAAGCTGTCAACCAGGAAAGATATTTGAGACACATGTAGCAGATAAAAGATCAGTAGCCAAAATACACGAACTCCTATTCTACAATCAATGAGAACAAGACTTAAAACCCAATTGAAAAATGAGCAAAAGTTACAGGGCAGTTCTTGGAAGAAGACACCCAAGTGGCTAGTAATCATGTAAAAAGATGTTTGGACTAACTTGTAGAGATACACAATTTAAATCAAGATTTACTTGTCAAAATATCAGAATGATCAAAATTAAGAATTTAGTAATGCTAACTGTTGCTGAGATAATGAAATCGTATAACCACAATGGAGGACAATTTTGCCAATACCTAGAAAAACTGAAGCCATGCATACCATATGTATATCTATCTATTCCTAGGTATACATAACTCAGAGAAATTCTGGCACAAGAACATATGTATGCACAAAAAATAATTATTGTTTGTAGAATTATTTATACAGATCAAAAGCATATAATTTAAATAGCCAGCAGCAGAAAAACCAATATATCTTGACATAGTCAGAAAGTAGGGTATTACATGGTAGTTTAAATAAATAAACTAGATTCGCATTTATCAACATGGATTTATCATGAAAACATGCCCAGTGAAGTAAAGCAGGTTACAAAATTATGTACAGAGTATGGTTTCCTTTTTGACAACTTTAAGTATATTTAATTGAGAAAGTCAACTATGAGTTTAAGAAATCATAATACTATACTACACATCTATGCGTACTAAAATTACTTTTTAAAACATGGAATGAAAGGGCACCACCAACCTTAACCTGTCGTTTACCTCCACAAAGACTGTGAAGGAGACAGGCAGTTGCGTGTGTGGCGGCCCACGCAGGCACGTGCGTGTGTAATACAGGGGAGTGGGGCGGCACAAAAGGGTTTTAACTGGATATGCAGTGTTTTATTTCTTAAAATAAAAAAGGGTTAAACAAATATGGCAAAATGGTATGTTAAGAATGTACACCAAGGGAGAATTCTAGTGTAAACTGTGGACTTTGGTTGATAATGATGCATCAGTGTAGCCCATTGGTTGCAGCAAATGTGCCACTCAGATGGGGGATGTTGACAGTGCAGGAGGCTGTGCATGTGTGGGGGCAGGGGGCGTGTGGGAGCTCTGTGCTTTCTGCTTAATTTTGTTGCAAACCCAAAGCTGCTCTAAAAAAATAAAGTGTATTAATTAAAAATATATTAAGTCTAGGTAGTGGTTACATTTTAAAGGTTACTTCTTGGATATTAATAAATGTTTGAAAATTTAGTAATGATAAAATGCAGTATAGAAATCCTAGATCATTTCAAGACTCTTATTTCATGTGCATGTATTACTGTTATATTAAATATAAATATATGTAAACTTGAAAATGAGTATTTACTTCTCTAAAAGCTGTGAATGAACTCTGTGGTTTATTTCAGGAGGATAGGACATGTTACATGATGCGTCCACACATTTATTATACATACATATACGTATATTTTCATTTCAGGAACATTTTGTTATTATAATTTAAAATATTTAAAGTTTTTAGGCCAAATATGAGTGGTGCACATGTTAAATCTTTACTTTGTCGTCTTTGTAAGGGACAAACATGATTTCCTAAACTGTCGCTGACTTTCTACAGCCCTTACGGAATTTTGCACTTTATCCCCAAACATGAGTCACTGTTTCTTTCTTGCCAGCTGAGCAAGCACCTCAGAATAAAGTTAAAATTGCATATACTCGTTAGAAAAAGCAGATGCCCTTTCTGCTCATGCCAGACAACTCACTCAGCTGCTGGGCAGGAAGGTTTCAGATACTCCAGGGGTTCTCACACTTGGCTGCATATTAACATCATCTGAGAGTCTTTTAACGTCTTAATGCCCAGGCACCTCTCACACCAATTAGGTCAGAATCTCTGGGAGTGAGACTCAGGCATCATTTTTTTAAACTTCTAATTGTGCAACTAAAAATCTCTCGATATTATGACAATTCAGAACCATGATTTTTTCCTTTCCTCTTGAAGACAGACACATCCTGTGAGATTTCACTATCGGGTCCTTGCAGCAGCCATGATGGTCTAAAATCACGATGGTCTTCACAGCTTTGAACCTTAAGTGAGGATTCCTGGGTCAGGAGGATGACCAATAACTTTTTGAGATTTGCTCTCCGGATACTGTGTGAGTTATGTATTCCTTTTGTTGTTAATGGCAACAGCACCGACTGCTTCAAGTTTTGGCCAAGTAGAACATGGCAAAAGCAGATTATTTTGGAAACACCCAAATACATACCTACAGGAGCTTTTGAGAATGACCTAGATAAAACTGAAAAAAAATGCAATTAAAAAACCTTATTTACTTAAATATCTGGAAATAAATTTCCTATCCCTGATTTATAGTTTTGTTTCCTGTATAAAACAATAAAAAATGAAGAGGGGTGATTAACCTACTTCAAAAGGCAAACTATTCTTAATGTATAAAGTATTTCATGGAAGCCTAGTTACTACTGTTGGATATTATAATTCAGTTTTGGGAACTGCTGGGAAGTTAGAATTTTATTCAGGATTTCTAACTTAACAGTTACAGAGGTATGTTACCCCTTAGTATGTGCACAGGTATCATGCATGATATGCACTGATATGTAAAGTCTTATCTGCAGTGTGATGAGGTGTTTTATGTATAACCTGTCATCTCAGAAATTGATCTTGTAATTAATCTCCACAAATTCAAAGGGCTGAAAAGTGAGCCACACTTGTGCTGTGGTGGAATATGCAACTACTGATGGAGCACAAATTAAATAATACTAGAAAGCTGTTATGTTTTCATTCATTGATTTATTTGTTTACTAAAATTATACCTATTGTCTACCTATTTCATACCATTTTATATCCTTTTTAATGTAACACTGCAAAAATGATCTATCTTGCAGTAAGACTGCTCCTTCTGTGGGAGAAAGCATTGGATCTACTTGGCTTCAGCTAATAGAAAATCTTTGTACCTGTTTGCATGTTGACATGGATTTATTTCACAGATTGATTAGCTGCTATGCATGAAAACAGAGTTCAGGAATCTGTGAGGAAAAGGCACAGGGTTCTTCCACAACTCTGTTTTACATATTTATAGATTCTTCCTTTTTATGAAAACTCTTTCCCTCTTTTAACATGCTTCACTGTCATGTTATAATTTTGTGCTTCTGTTTGCTGTCAACCTTCTAAAAGAAATGTTCTACCGTGGCATTTTATGTCCTCATTAAGAATTCCTTCAAAATTAATTTATTGACTTTGTGGAAATTATGTATGGCTATTATGAAAATGTAAACAATATAGAAAAGTAAAAACAAAACCAAAAATCCCTCATTCCCAAACTTCCACCTTCCTAAACTCACTGTCATGAAATTTGAGGAATATCACTGAGGAACACTACGCATGCATAAAATAATAGAAAGACAAATTTTAAAATGTCACAAAAATTGGATCATACTATTGATGCTCTTTTGAAATTAAAGGTATTCAATTTATTTATTTTTCTTATCAATGTTATTGAAGAATAATTTATGTACAATAAATACATTCATTCAGTGCTTGATAAATTTTGTCAGTTGTATACATTCATGAAACTAGCATCACAAAAAACGACAGCAGTTTTATCACCTCCAAAGGATTCCTCACGCCCCTTTGCCCTTCATGTCTCCCTCCGACCCCAGCCCCAGGCAACACTGATCTGTTTTTTGTTACTGCGGATTTGTTTGCCTTTTATGTAAGGAGAGTCATAGAGGCTGTACCATTCTGTGTCACTCATGGAGAGATTTTCTGACTATAATGATGCATAAATATCAATCAAGTCAATGTATGGTTTTTTTTTTAGATCTTTCATGTTTTAGCTGATTTTTTTAAAGATTAGTTGTTCAGACAGAGGTATAAAATTCTTCTTTTATAGCTGTGGAATTATTAATTCCTCTAATTAAATCTATAAATTTTTGCTTCATGTGTTTTGAGGCTCTATTATTATGGAGAGGACATACAAATTTTCAGGGGTCTCAATTTTTTAAGCCACTTTCTTTGGAAGGGCTTTCTATTGCACATGGGTTGCTTTAATTCAGACTATGCATGTGGGTGTCACAGGCCTACTTTTTATATTGTTCATAGGTCAATATTTTCTATCCATGTCTCTGGGAAGTCAGCAAGCTGGTTAGATGCTTTCCAGGGCCCGATGGATGTAGGTTTTCTCATACCTATGTTACCTACTGGGTATCCCTTCCTGATTCCACATTGTGAGTTCAGTTTCAGCTTTCACTGACCTTCCTGAGGCAAGTTTTAATGTCCATCCCAATTATTTTGTTAAGCCTTCAGATTCACCTCCCTATTACTACTCTGACTTTTAGTTTGGCTCAGCTGTGGATTTCATTTTGTGGTTGTGTCTATTTCTTAGCGGTTAAAATAGGAGGGGCTATTTGATTCAGCATCTTACTCTGCCTTATTAACTAGAAGTCTCCTTTCTCTTCTTCTCCCACTTGCAGTCAATTTAGGAAGTCTGACTTTTATCCCTCCCTTTATAACCTCTCTAATATCTAATATTTCTTTTTGTTTCCAGGACTGTCCTCTAGTTCTCAGTTCAGGCTCTTGTCATACCACACTGGATTAGTGCATTCAGTTTCTAATTATTCTCTCTGTAGCCATTTTGTTACTACTCTGATCTATCTTAGATGCTCCTGTCATAATATTTGTCATAAAAATTAACTTTGATCATGTCATTGCTTTCCATAGAAGTCTTTAGTGGCTCTTCAACACTGAGTCCAAACTCTTGGCAGCATAACATGACTCAAATATCTTTTAAAGTCTATCTGTCATTACTCACAGCACAAAATGCTGGTTTTCAGTGAAGTTTCTCTACTTACTGCCCTCTAAGTTACATGACTTCCTCTCATTACCACCTTACCATTACTCATACTATATCCCAAATGTAGAACAATGTGGAATGTCTTGCCCCAGTCAGCATAGTTTTCCAAGTAGTATACTTTATTAAAAACAAAGTTGAAGGCTCTCTCCTTTTATGGATTATTTTCTGTGATTCTAGTCTATGTATATTCTGGTTCTGTTAGTTGCTTCTGTTGATGCACGTCTTTCTTTTGATGCTTATTGTTATCCATTTCTCTCTCTCTCTTCCTCTCTCTCTCTCTCCCCCCTTCTCTGTATGTAAGATCTTTGAAAGTCAAAAAAGAGATAAGAAACTTTATTGTATAAGGAAAACTTTATTTGTAAAGTTTATTTTTCATACTTACAAAGTGCCTTGCACATAGGTGTTTTTTAATTATATTTTATTGATTATGCTATTACAGTTGTCCTGATTTTCCTCCTTTGCCTCCCTTTACCCAGCACCCTCACTCCTTCAGGCAATCCCTCCACCATTGTCTATGTCCATGGGTCATGCATATAAGTACTTTGGCTGCTCCATTTCCTATAGTGTACTTTACATCCCCATGGCTATTCTGTAACTACCTATTTGTAGTTCTTAATACCCTCACCTCTTCGTTCATTGCCCTCTGAGCCCCTCTTACCAATCTAGGTAGATGTGATTTCTTTAATTCTGTAGTTTCAGACTTCCATTTAGGTGGATTTCTGACAGTTCTGAGTGATGGTTGTTCTATATTTTAGCTGTAATTTTGATGTGGGTGTGTGAGGAGGCAAGCCATCTCTGCCTATGCCACCATCTTGACCAGAATGCTCCTGTTTATTCCACAGTTTTTTTTCTTTAAATCTAGAAAATGAGAAGGTAAATTTTGATGTGGCAAAGGAGTATAAAGAGAGACAGGAAGTAAAATGATAACTGTCATTGAAATCAAGAGGAAACCTGAGACAATGTCTTGAGAATAAAAGTTGTTGAAAACTCCAGCAACTTGATTTTCACCTTCTTGATTAGTAATTGCACTTAGGAAGTCTCAGTGGCTTCATGGAGGTATTTCATTTAAAACACAACAAAAGAAACCCCCAAAATACAGGTTAATTCCTATGTAACTCATATTTTTAAGAACCATAAGTTATAACTTATTTTATATTATCTTTGTTTTGCTATACTTCTGCTCAATTTCTCCTACACAGAACAAACATAAAAATATTTATTATTGAAAGTACATTATTTATATGACATATTGATAAATTTTATTCATCAATTTCTAATCCTTGATAAAACACAAAGATTTTCTTGCTTTCCTGCCAACTGTGGAAAAAGTAGCCCAGGATTTGGCTGGCCACAGATTTAATGTCAGTGCACAGAATGATGTGACAAAAAAAAAAATGAGACCGTATCAAAGAATTTATACTTAGATCTGGGGCCACTGCTTTACCAAGGACTGTGATCCCATTGGTTGCTTTAAAATGGTCAGTGACAAATTGCAGAGTCTTGAGGAGGAAGGTTAGTTTGATAAATGTGTTACTAATTTTCTCATGCCAGAAATGGTGAGAGAAATTTAGAGAGAATTACTTTGTTTTCTCTGTGGAGGAGGGAATGAAGTGGCAATGTGTTGATCAAAGATGCAGAACAAGGACCACTGTTGGGTTGTTACAGTGAGGTGATTTCAGCTCAGGGAGGCTACTCTACGGTTGACCCTGTGATGCTCACCACGTATGCAGTTCCTCCTCTGTATTTCCTGGTCCTCTTGAATTTAGATAGTGCTTGTGCCTGGTTCAGGTCAGTGAAATGTGAGCAGAAGAGATGGGTGTGACTTCCAGGCTGAGACAGTCAACGTGCATGATTCTCCAGTCCCTCTTCTTTCCTTTAAGACCCTGTTTTCCTACTCCTAAGTGTTCACAGCCTCAATGGGCGCACCAAGAAAAATCTTACTGTGGCCCATATTCTTGTTTATTTCAGCTACCACCAGAAGCTCCTAGGGCTCTCTTCTGACTCCATCTCCTACCTGTCCTCCATATCTAGAAATCGAAAACCCTTCTACCATCCCCTCTGCAGCTCTTCATTGGTCATTGATGCAAATCCTTGTCCCCACCCTATTTTCTGAATGTTCTGACACCTAGTTCTCCCCTGAGGATGTTTTCTCTCTCAGGCCCCTGGCTGGGAAGTGGGTCGGGGGTAGGATAGTTATCCACCACACTCCTCACGGCGGCTTCCAGACTTGGGCCTCTTCTCATTCCTAGAAATCTCCAGCACTGAAGTTCCCATCAGATTCTACACCCACTCTTTATGGCAATTGTTTACCAACTTCTGGGCCAGTCTCCCTCTTTCTTCAAGACTGGATCTTGGAGAAATACAAGACAGTTTCTTGTATTCGGGGTCGCTGCCAAGCTCCAGAACACACTGCCATCATACTCCCTGACGATTTTGGAATCCTAATCACCTGGCCTTTCGGGAACCTGCTATCTTCTCTACTCATAAAATGCCTTTTTAAGTCTTAATTTCCCCTTGTCAGTAAAATAGATATAATAATGACTTCCTCTTAGGGTTGCTCTAAGAATTATTAAGTCATGTTGAAAAAAAAACTTGTAGCATAAAGGCTACTTGAAGTTGAATCTGAATGGCCTAAACCATTTTTGATGGTCCTGATTTAGTTTGGAAACTGTGCTCTAAATGCAATTTCATGCAGAAGGCTAAAATGTTTGAGAGTGGAGGTGCTTTTGCTGGAAAGGGGGAGAGGGTGAGAAGGGGTAGTTCTGAAGAGTACCACCTGCTCAGTCAGGAGGCCTCAGCACAGGATTCCCAGGGCTCAGCATAGAACACTTTGAAAGCCACTGAACTCTAAGTCATTTTGTCCCTGATTTTTTCTGTGTATGAACTAGTACCAATTGAAGTTGAGTATCTACAACATACACTGCAGTGCTTTAAAAACAGTTTTTTTTTATAAGAGGAATGCTTAACATTTATTCTTTGGCTATCAATAGTTAATAAATAAAAGCTGGTCATGTGACAGATTTTTAAAAACTTTTATAGATTTTAGTAAACTTAATTTTTTTCTTATATATAATTTAAAACAACCTTTAAAGATTAGTGTTTGGAAAATGTGTGTATCTTTTGAGTGACTATACTTCTTTTGTTGGATGATGATTGCATAATATACTATGTTGTTTTTTTTTCATCTTGCCCAGCAAAACTTATACTAGCTATCTTTAGACTTTTTTTCCTGGTATAATTATCTTAATATTTCTTTACTTGGATTAGGGTGTTTTATCCTGACAACTTTAATGGTATATATGTTATTATGAATACTTGCAAATTCTTTTGGTAATAGAAAATGTGGATTAAATGAACATGACCTAAGTGATAATGTGCAACTAATTGTAGGACAACCATACTGAACTTCGTTAGATGTGTACTTTGTAACTGTTTATAAACATTTAAACTCCCAGCAGGTAAAAATATTGCTTGAATTCTCCTTTTATAGGCTTCTAGGGGAGGAAGTCAATAGTATAGCCTCGGGAAATACGGAATCATGATGCCTTTGACAAAAATGGCCATAGCTGGTAAGTCAACAAAGCCATCTTTTTATGAAACGAGGGAATGAGAACAGGTTAGATTTATTCTGTTCACTTCTGAGTATTAGGTATTGTAATTTTATTTTAGATTATTTGAAACACAGGCTCTAGTATTTTAACAACTAATCCTCCTTTCAAGAAAAAGAAACCTGTTAACTTCTAAGGCAAAGTGCCAGTAAACAGTGCTCAAAATACATTGTTTTCTAATTAGATCATTTAGAAAACACACTTCTCTATATAGCTGATTAGTGCTAACCTACAGTGCATTGTAACACAGATTACTACTATTCTAAAATAAGTTTATACGACTCTTCTGATAAATTCACTTAAAATGATAAATTTATGTAAGATTTTATAACAAATTGCATTAATTTAATCCAAGATTGCCTTATAACCACTATTCTAAGTATATTTCCCTCTGAAAAATTTATAGGAAAACAAAAAGAAATTAATATAGAGTTTTTAAAAGATCAGCATTACATTTTTTCTTTTTCCTTTTTTTTATTGAATTTATCAGGATGACAGTGGTTAATAAAATTGTATGTTTTGGGTGTACAGTTCTATTACACATCATCCGTCTACTGTGTGTTCACCACCCCAAGTGAAGTCTCCTTCTATCATCATTTATTCCCCTTTTGAACTGGGTTCTGAATTTTAAGTTCAAAGGAAAAAAATTAAGTTTGACAAATAGAAATAAGCATCTGGAAGAAAATTTCAACATCTGAAAACACACTATAAAAACTGACATTAGTAATGAATTGTAACTAAGCAACGTAGTATGGCATGTAAAAATAATAAACTTAACCCTTCCATAAATAAAATAAAGAAAAAATATTTTGCTTTAAAAGGAAAAGCAGGGGAGAAAACTTGACCTTTTGTATTTATTTGAGTAAATGTCTATGTGGCACATTTCCAGGAAGACTTGGGATGGAAGAAAATAACTACAAAGAGGCCTATGTTTGAATATCGCGGTTGTGACACACACTGACAAACACCAGGCCATTCACTCTGTCACTCTCCCAGCTGAAGAAAACAAAGCAGAGACCTGAAGGAAGAGTGGCACGTCCCTCCGAATGCACAATTTTCTGGCTTTTGTCACTATGTCACACATTGTATTTCTTTTAAAATTTGCTTTTGTATTTTATACAAACCTCTCACAGATCTGGGGCATGTGACAAGCAGTCTAGAAAATAAAAAAATAAAAACAAAGGCTGTGGTGAAATTTTAAAATGTATCCCTTAATCAATCATATTAGGTGACATGAGACATGTCAGTGTGGGCAGCATGCTAATGTTGCCGTTTGGGAGACAGAGAGAGGCAGACGACTGGGATTTGTAATCAGCTAAGCTTTTATGTGTTTGATCTGTCTGACATGAGAGCTGGTTTTCTGCTGTTTATTTCTGTCTAGGTATTTCTAGCATCATCAACTGGTAAAAGAGTGACAAACAGTGTCAGAGATTGCAAAAAAAAAAACATTGCAGCATTAAAAAAAACTGTGTTTGGCCATTGTGCTAAATGTTTTTTCCAAATATTCTAAAAAAGATTGACCCAGAGCAAAGTAGCTTTGTTATTGAACAACAAAATGGAGAAGTGTCTGCTCTGGTAATGACATCAACCATCACTGAAACACTTTTAGGATTTGATCAACCTAATGCTCATTTTCTAGCACAGGGTCCTCTGGACACAGTAAGTGCCCAATACATACCTGACTAAACTTCACTCCCGGCCATTGTCTTAGGAACTTGTGAATTACCTGTGTATGACCTAAAGGCTTCAGGTAGGCAAATCACTCTCAATCACTGCAGCAGTCAGGACTGTACTGACTACAAGTGACTGAACAGAACTCCACCTGACTTAAGGCGTTCACTGTCTCGTGTTTCTGAAAACTTCAGATACTGTGTCCAGAGGCCTGATCCAGGTCTTCATCTTTTTGTTCCACTTCCCTGTATTTCCCTGTTTATCAGAGAGGTTTCTCCCATGCAGCAGCAAGAATAGAGGCTTACACCTTAGCAATTCAGAAAAACCCAGCAGAAAGAGACCTTCTCTTTCTAAAAACTCCCAGTGAAGTTCTCAGGCTTACACTCATTTGTGTCCCTGGCCCATTTGGAAGCCATTGTCACAGTCAGAGGATGGAGGAACTGATCAGCCAGACTTGTGTCGTATTCCCATCACAGAGTGGGGCCTGGGAGGGGTGGAGAAGGACAGAAGTTTGGGATTAGGTCAGATCCACACAAACAGCCATTGGAGAGGGAGAAAGGAATGGCTTGCCAATGGAAAATGACCACCATAATGATCCAACCTCACCATCCCCAGCACTATTCACACCCTGTTGCTGAGGTGTCTCTGGATGCCTAAGGGAGAAAAACATATTTGACTGGTTAGATAAGAATTCTCAAGATGTTTCATAGTTGTGTCTTTACTTTACACCTTTAAATGATAGTTCCACTGTACAAATATCTGATTTACAAGTTTTTGTGAATTGAACACATACAAATTGAAACTACTTGCATGAATCCTGCCCATTAAAGGTTAGTCTCTATTCTTCATACATTTAAAATCCTTGTAAAGAAAAATCAGGAAGCCAAACTGTATGTAACCAGATCAACTGTTTTATAGAATTAATGCAATCTAGTTATTATTCTTCTCACATTTTAATAGATTCCTTCACACATCTTAGGCTGTTAACGGTCTGGGTCCAATGAGGAGAGCATCCACACAGTAAGTTGAATAGTGAAAGTTTAATATAAAAAATTAGCAATTATAACAGGGGATAGAGTGCAAGCAATTGGGTAGTAAGAGGTGGTAAGAATCTAAAGAATACAGGAATAGCGACATCAGGATCCCTGACAGAGCACCGAGAGAATAGACCCAGGCTCAGATCCAGACCTTGTTGAGAGGGCCCACTGGCCTGGCTCCTGGGTAGAAAAGGAGTCCCTGTGGTGTCATGTGGGCAGAACTTGCTGGCAAATCACCTTCTAGAAAGACAAGGCAAGTTTTTACGAGGAACTGCCTCGTGGGAGGCAGGCATACCACCAACAAAACCACATGGGAGGACCCTGGGGAAGCTAGCTGCTGGGTGCCACTGACCACACTCCATTGCGGGAGCTAGACACTACAGAAGTTGGGGTACTTGGCTATAAAGTCCCTGAGAGGGAGGGGAGGGTCGCTGGAGAAAGCTGCTGGCTGCTGTGTGTGTGTGCTGACCCCTGGGCATGGCCACAGCTGGGCGCAGCCACAGCTGGGCACAGCAGGAGCCTAGGGCCAGAGAAACCAGAACCAGCAGGGTGAGTGCCCCAGAACCAGGAAGCAAACTCTTTTTCTCCTGAAATGTCTGTCCAGCACCCTCTACTCACAAAGCTTCGGGATCGGCTGGCAGAGTAAATACATGTAAGAGGTCCAGATTTGTTTTTATAGAGCAGGAAAACTAGGTGAATCTGTAGCTAAGAGACGAAAAATAGACAACCAGCACAGAGGTATTGCAAAGCCATGTTTTGACTTCGGTGCTATAATATTATCTAAAGTGTGCATAATATTCCATTTTCTTTATTTTCCCAAGGCTTTTTTTTTTCTTGTGGGATAGTGAGAATAAATATGTAATTCTATTCCTCGGGCAGCACAGCAATGATTCCAAACACCACTTGACCAGCTGTGGAGGAAGAATTAGTGAGGAGCAGCAGCTTGGGTGGATTTCAGAAGCAGAGATCAAGTTTCAGACCATTTTTATTTTATAGTAATTTACTTAACAACCCAAGTGAGGTTATTCATACTTTACCATTAGAGAAATTTAGCGTAAAAGGTTTTATTAACCTTTACCATATATGTACCATAGCACATGAAGAGGCTTTACTTTATATATTTAAGTTTGGAACCACAAATGGTTCTTAAATTTCTAAAAAGTTTGTTTTAAAAGTATAACATATTAGTATATCTTAGGCACACAACTTGAGAAATTTTCATAAATGGAACCCACTTGTGTAATTAGTACTCAGGGTTTCATAAACAATTAGGGTGCCAGAAACTCCTTTGAGGATCTGAAGACAGTTTAGGCTTCTTATTTTCGAATATGCACAAACAAAAAGTTTAGCTTGAATCTTCAAAGTTTTTACATCCTAGGTAAGAACTCTTTTTTTTCCTCAAAGATTTTATTTATTTATTTTTAGGGAGAGGGGAAGGGAGGGAGAAAGAAAGGAAGAGAAACATCAATGTGTGGTTGCCTCTCAAATGCCTCCTAGTGGGGACCTGGCCGGAAACCCAAGCATGTGCCCTGACTGAGAATCCAAGCAGCGACCCTTTGGTTTGCAGGCCCGTGCTCAATCCACTGAGTTACACCAGCCAGGGAGAGAACTCTCTTGCACTAAATAAACCCAAAATAGGTTTTTCCGCCCTATGTGAATAGAACACCCCACTCATTATGATTTAGTTTCTTAGGCTGAAGAATAAGAAAAAAAATACCCAAACCATGTATTTTTAGAATTACTGCATAACTTATGTTTTATATTTTAATTGGCAATGTATTTTAAATAATAAACCTGTACTAATTATATTGCCTCGATTTAAAAAGTATTAATCTTGCTGCTATTTTTAAACAATAAAAATATCAATATATTTCTGGATGAACACAAATTTTTCTTGGGAGATAGTGGGTGAAACACCTTAATTTTTCTATACTGGATTTTTGCCTCGTTTTCAATTCTAGTATAAAGAACAATTTATTAATCAGATATCTTTGGAAAAGGCTAGTAACAGGCAGAAGTGGTTACATTTTCAGGGCTACATTTATATTTCAAAATCTTCAAATGTTTGGACCCAGTTGGGTATTTCCAACTCAAGAAAATGTAGTTAATCAATCATCAACACAGATGCTATTAACTGGAAATTATTATTATTTTGGCCACAAGATGGCGCCAGTATTGTTTAAGAACTGTAGTGGATCCTGGGATTTTCACATCTTTCCACCATCTCTCAACCTAGGATTTCAATTTTTTTAA